TACTTTAGCTAACATTCAATGCATCTCGAAAATCCTTATTCAAATCCAAATATATATTCAAAAAAATATTATTTAATTTTATTTTTCTTCAAACAAACTATCTTTTAACTATTTCTTTCATAAATATGTTATTTATACTATTAATATTAATCTATAAAAATTATATCACAAAAAATTTAATATACTACCGCGAAATCGTCCACAAATCATTTAATCTAAAAAATTAATTAATATAAATATTTATTATTATAAATATTTACATATTTTTTCAATATATCTAAATATTAATAATATAACAATTAATTAATCAAAATAATATATCATAAATAATACAATATTAATATTAATTAAATTCAAATTAGTTATTTTCCAAATATCATATCTTTCGTAATCTAAAATTGTTATTGTATTTTGTTATTTAAATATATAAATATATATTATATATTAATATATTTTCCTAATTTCATTTATTTCGGCCAATACCTCACAAGAAAATGAATGATTCTGGACACTATATCGTTGATCAACAAGAACATTTGGCAAAGAATCACTTCTACACAAAAACAACACCATTGCTTGCCGTTGACTAAACAATTCCCAAGATCTCTGTTCCCTGCCACTGATGGATTCTTTCCCACAAAGAAGAAAAGCTACCTGGCGCCTCCCGGCGACCCCAACACTGGGATGCCAAGCTCCAACACCTTGCCGTGCAGGTCCAAGACCAACCTCAAAGGCTCCAGCGATGGATGACAGGTTGACCGGGTTCATTTTGAAGGATCTTCCCTCAGCAGAATGAGGGATGATGAGGGTCTGAAGGGTTTGGTATGAGGCTGATGTGGAAATTGGTGATGGGGCCAGACTTCCAAAAGCCCTCTTTGCCCAAAACCACTGCTTTTCTCTCACCAAGCGCAAGAACCCCTAGGACCTGAACCCCCCCATGGATCCTATGGTCAGTGGCGGACCGCCCCCAGCAAAAAAGGGTTTTATACTTGATACCTGGGAGTGTACCACAAAACAGTCCAGGAATCAGACTATTCTACAAATTTGTATAGACATATATAAACCTGTTTTTGTATGAACGAAGTGACAGAGTGGAAAACGCATAGATTTCGGTCAATGCTTCCTTGATATTCCTTGCGCAAGGGGAGAACAAGTGACCCAAGGCAGTTTAGTTCACCAAACTGGTTGATTCATGACTCTTCGGATTCAGTTTGGCCTTTGGACATGGAATCCGAATATATCTGAATACAAACGCCAATGATCTAAAGATAGCAATTACCACACCCTGGAGCTTCCCCAAAAGCAAGACCTTCCTGCGATTCCTGGTGGATGCTTTTTGACCCACGGTGGCGAGCCAAACTCCTTCCGAAACCACATCAATGAGATCACCAGCAACTCATCCTCCAAGTGCTTCTTCCCCAAGGCACCTCGCTTCCCAGGCCTTCCCCCCTTCCCCCCCGTTCGTCCACCAAAGGGACCGATTCCACGCCCGGGAGTCCACCAAAGCAGCCAGGATCGAACCCTGGTAGCTGTACCTCAGCTGTGCAGACTCCGCGCGGACCGGCCGAGGGGACGGAGGCGGTCGTCGAAGTGGGAGCGAGAGGTGCAAAGGACGAGGCGGCCTCTATGAGGCTGAAAAGATTGCCAGTGCATCAAATCCACTCACCACCATACTCATCCAAATATATATATATATATGTTTAATAGGGCCAACGAGATGGCATTAAGCTCTTCTTTCCTACCCTGAGGAGCTTCGCAGCGTTGCGCTGTCATCCCTAAGGCCAGAAACCCAAACGACCCAAAAATCCAGACTTCCAAGTTGGGCTTTGGACCCAAGGGAGAGATGGCCACCTAGTACTACCCTCCAGTAATTAACCACAAGAATGGAAGCAGTTCAGTTCTCCCCCCAAAGAACCGGTTCAGCGTCGACGCAACCTGCGTCGCCGGACTCCTGGAAGCTCTTCTTTCCGCTGGAGATCGCCTCAAGAGGCACGTTTGGAGCCCATGACATCCATAGAGCTGGCGCTTGAGGATTTCATACATGGCCCATGGCGAGCAAACAAACAAGATGTTCCTTCAGCAAACAAGATGCCACTTTCGATCCATCCTTTGACTTGTGCACTCCATGGGAGAGTTCGTTCCATCCCCCTGTCCGATTGGTCACCAGAAACAAACCAAGAAATCCTGCAACTAAGCATTCCAGCAGCCTCCTGCAGGCAAACCAGCTCTGACGGTGAAGTCCACAGAAACCGAAGAATTCTCTTGAAATATATGCTGATTAGTATGAATCAATCGTCCCTCTGGCTTCAAAGAAGGAGTAGGGCATATACAAGCATCAAAGCCTGTGGAAGTTGGATGAAAAAGGTCTGAGAGGGATATAGAGCGACTACCATTGAAATCACCCTGCTGTATGCGGATTAAACAACATTGAGTAAATCATCATGCTTTCGGTCCCTTGAATTACAACTTCATTGTGATTCATAAAGCGAATAAAGAGTGAGAAAATCCACAACAAATTCATCCTTAAGCCATCAGTTGAGTCTCAAAATCATCTTCACCCCCAAAAAGACATCTGTGGCAAGTGTGGACGCAGAACAAAACACCTCGACTCTGAGCTCGCCCAGCTCTAAGGTAGAAGATCATGCTATTGGTGGACATCTCATGAGTCCTGGCTGAGCTGGGGAGGTGAGGCTGGAGCACCAAGACCCCAGGAAGGTCCGAGTGGATGAGTGATCTGTTAGACAATGTTAGACAAGACACGCGGAAAGAACACTTCAGGAAAGCACACAAAATCTAATTCTCAGTTGCCGGATGGGTTTGTCAACAAACACCACTTCTCAACTCACTGACGGATGTTTATATACGCTGTATGTTCTATCATGT